ACGCATTGGAAATTATAGAAATTATAGAAATAACTTGACTAAACTTATGAAGAAAGCAAAACGCAATTATTATGCTTGCATGTTCGAGGGCGTTTCAAGGGTCAAGGAGATGTGGAGCAAGTTAAATTCAATCACTGCATTTCATAAAACTAATTTTAGTGTAGAAGAGATAACTGAAGGTGATCGAACATACAGGGGTAAAGAATTGGCTGAGAAATTTAATAATCACCTTACTTTCTTTGTGGACAGTGCCAGTGACACTACCGCACTAGATTACATGCCCACACAAACACTAGCTTTGTCAGTTTATCTGTCCCCAACAAACGAATACGAAGTTATGAGTGTTTTAAAAAAACTGAAGAAAAGTAAATCGGAAGATATTGATGGTTTAAAGATGGCCCCAGTTCGGTCATAGATATATTAGTGATGCCCTTAACATACATTTATAACCTAATTTTAGGTATTTTCCCACAATGTATGAAGCGCGCAAAAGTTACAGTGCTGTTTAAGAAAGGAGACGAAAATGATTTGAAAAACTATAGGCCCATATTCATTCTACCACTGTTTTCAAAGCCCATGGAAACGTTAATATTTATAAAAATGCCGAACTTCCTTGCAAAACTCGATAATTACTCCAGCACAGTATGGTTTCAAGGTCAGGGCGGTCGACAGATGTAGCGTTGTTACGGCAAAAGGAAATCATATTGGGCAACATAAAGGACAGGAAACTTACCCTAGGCATATTTGTTGGCTTCTCGAAAGCCTTTGACTGGATAAATCACAATACTCTCTTATAAAAGCTGCCCTATTATGGCATCAGAATAAATTCACTGAATTTAATCACCAGGTATTTGAGCAATAGGAAACAGTGTGTATGTATAAGCTTGGAACAATCATTTTTGCAAGAAATTGCCCAAGGTAGTATATTGGGGCCGTTACTTTGCATTACTTATATAAACGACATTATCAATGTAAATCGCACAATCAAATATGTCATATATGCGGATGACACTTCCTTGTTTTTCACAGGCATCGATGTAAGTGATCTAATTTCAACAACAAACACGACACTAGATGACTTGTTTGCATGATCAACTGCTAATTCCTTTCAAATCAACTGTTCAAAAATCAAAGCGGTTCTGTTTCGTTCCGAATAAACAACGCACGAGGCTACATCAAAACTTCATCTGCATAATTCTGCGATTGATTTTTCTTTGACAGCAAAATCTTTGGGCATTGTTTTTCATGAGCATATGTTGTGGGATTCACATAGTGAACTGGTAACAAAGAAGTTAAGTAAAGCTCTCGACATGCTTAGGAGATGTCAGTCATTTTTACCGACTACTCGGATGTTATTGATCTATAATACGCTTTCTTATTCCCAGTTATGGTATGGTATTTTGGTGTAGGGAAACAGCACCTTACACTCTAAGCAGAATTTACTCTTACATAAAAAAAAAAAAAAATGCTTTACGTTCTATTGTAAATGCCGAGTATAATGCACATGCCTTGTCCTTATTCAATAATTTTAGAGATTTCAAAACATGTATGACTATTGCTTATTAGCACACCTAAAATTTGAAATAAAGAAAGGAAATGACAACCTTATCTCACTAGCATGCTTAGAGCACAGCACCTTTTCTCGACCTACTAGACAGAGCGATTATTGGAAGGTTCCTCGATGCCGAAGAAACTACAGTCTCCAAAAGCTGAAATATTCACTTCCACACATACTAAATAACTTCCGTGTTTCACTGCAGTGGTTGCGCTTTCTTTCGCGACAGGACATGTCCAGTCTATTTTTTACGTGATGCAAAAAAAGTAACTTTGTATACTACTTATTCCTACTTTTGTATTTCTTCAAAGAGTGCAATCTTGCCTACATGTATGAAATATTTAATATTGTGCCACTTTCAACTATGTGTTTGTTGTCTGTTTACTGTTTTAGTTGACCTCACGAATGCTGTCACTTTTTCTGCCTTGTTTGTTGGCATGTGGGGCTAGTCAAGCTGCGTTTGTATTGCAGCTTTTCCATACCACATATTATATCTTTGTTGTTACTACAAGAAAAAATCAATATCAATGTGTAACTATGCGGTAAATAAACTTCAAATTTCACATAGTAGTATGGAACATTACTGTTTTGATGACCAGTAAAGCAGAACTTGAACAAGACTGCACCACAAGTTCTTTTTTGGCAAACGGGAATGATGAAACAGCACTTCGTAGCGCTTTCTGAACGCGCGCGGCGATGCTACTGGTCTCGCTGTTTGCTATAGCAACAGTACATAGAACTTCTTTTTATTTTTAAGTTGCGCTGGCTTGCCGATAGATGTGCTGCCGGCAGCGGTCCAATGGATGCGCGTTGCTGTTACTTTATCTGGTTGATCGCGTTCCATAAGAATGCCAAGAAGTGTCCACCTTAATTGTTTGTATCTCACACCGCTGTCAAGCCGCATGTCCACTACCTTCATTACAGCTCATTGACTTTTAGCAATAAAGTTGTTTTTAGTCAGTTCTTTGCCTTTTCTGCCTCATTCTCACGGTAATGAAATTCCTGCAAGAGTTTTTTTTTTCTTGCTTTCCCCATCGATCTTTATTGCAGGTTTTAACTGTACTCGGGAGCATTGAAGAGAATAAGAACAATGTTCTGGACATGTTGTGGGGGCTCGGCGTGGCGAAGGAGCGCATCGCCACGCCACGCTCTTGGAGTGAACGGACACAGCAGACGCGGTCGGTACAAAGCACACAACATACATACATTTATTAACTAATTTAGACGACGATATCGTCCGCCGAATGATACACCAATTTCAATTAACACGCTACCATACAAACAACATAACCCAATGACACACTAAACACACAATAACATTATAAACACACACTAACACACCCAACATCCTAACACATACCCAAGGCGGCGTCGCCAACGCCTGACTTTCCACGTGGGATCCCGGCGCGAAGCCCGCGGTGCCGAGCACCAGGGACCCACGCTACAGACAACCGTTCGCGGCAGCCGCCACGCGCAGAAGAGGCCCGCTCAACCCTCGGCCACCACCAAGGCCTGCCTTCTGCCAGGGGCCACCGCCGGCGCTACCACTCTGCCAACAGTGGTCCTCAAAGCGAACACAACGCCATCTATCGCCCGGCGGTGGTCACCACCGAAATAAAGCCTTGGGGCGAGACACGTGCGCCATGCGGCGCAGACAACTTTACAGGAGGGCGTCAGCACCCCCACAATGTTCAGGCACACACTTCAGCTGCTCGTTATCACCCACGAGGTGCCTCTGCAGAATTCGCTGCAGTTTCTGGGCCTGTAGATGAAGTTTCAGCATCACTGTGTGTGCTGGGCATACAAGCCGCTTGGTAGCAAACCTTTGTTGCCTTTTGTGTCTGATCACATGAGGTTGGTTAAGACGTCGGTGGTCGAGGTAACACTTCACTCAAGTCTTACGTGCACTGCATGGAAGAAAGCTTTGCCAAACAAATGCAGGGGCTGAAGGCAGCCAGGTACCCCCAGCACCTGATCACTTTAGTTGCTGAAAAAGTGCACAAAGCAACTATGATGCGATTGAAAGTGGTCGCAGTGGTAGATGAAAGTCATGATGAGCACAGAAGAGTGGCAGTGATTCCCTACATGCACCGTAAGACACACTATTGTATTGGTGAACGAATCGGAGTCAGTTTTGTCAGTGCCTGAGAAGTTATCTCTTCTAGGCGTGCCGTATCACTTCACCATTGAAAAAGCCAAGATAGGTGTGTGCAATCAACCATTGAGACAAGTTTGTAGATTGCTCACAGTTCTGCTTTCCTGTGGCCAAGTTTATGTAGGGCAGACAGAGCATTGTTCTATAAATGTCCAAGCGCAATAGGGTGCATAAAGGGGCGGATGGGCATCTCGCGGCACACTGTCGAGAATGTGGGTGTAAACTATTTCTAGATAACACTGCAGTGTTGTATCGGGACTCTGAGATTGACCCGAGATTAATTGTCAAGGCCACTGATACAAAGAAGGAAGATTCAGTTGCAGTTAGTGCTTCTTCGATTACCTTGGCAAGCGAGAAGTTTCACTTTCTTTTTATGTGTGCATGGTGCTGTAACGTAGTCAAGCCTTGGCACTTTCTGTGCTGATGCTATCTGTGCGATGTGTAATTAGTTTTTCATCACTTAGACCATTAGCAGGAATAGACTCTGCAGTATGTCTGTATAGTTTTCTTGCCTTTCTTTTCTGGTGGCTACATCTGTATATTTGGTGTTACCATTAACTAAACCTTCAGTTAGCACTTGTCCTGTCTTGCGCGTCTTTCATGCTTACCAACCACTGCCTATAAAGCACCTGACACTGCAGGAAGCAAGGCACCACTTTCTCTCATACAAGACAACTTCAGATTACCGTCTTTCTGCAAAAGACACTTTAGACACAAAGTGTCCTATTATGTATGTAATCATTGACCATTGCGAGAGCACTTGCATGCTGTTCATTTCCACCTGAAAATTCTTAGTCTGTTACTGTTAAGTGATTTAAATGTATCCAAAATGCCTTGTACTTGAGCACCTGTGTGTGGTACATACACTGCATAGAATGCTACTTCTTGAACTAGAAATCTCTTCTAGAAGCATGCTGAGGATGAGTTAACTAAGGGCTGAAGCACTGAGTTGAAAGAATAAATTCTTAGATAATTTCGTTGTTGTTAGTTTTTGTTGTAGGAATTGAACTGCTTGTAAGTTTATTTTTTTTTTAATTTTTATGACAAAATATTTGCATGCGAGCATCAATGTGACGCCACAGATTTTATTTATTTATTTTTTCATAGTTTTGGCCTCACTGGGCCAACCATATATAGGGTCCTAAAGGTTGGCGTGTTAGCCCTAGAATAAACGTCACAGTGAGCTGGTGTGGGAATTTCGCAGCCTTGCATTATATTCACGTGTTGCCGCAAGAGTTGGGTCTGGTTGGGAATGGCTTACCAGTTGCTGTGAAACATGTCTTCTTTCAGGGGCAACAAGAATGTGACCCTCACGCTGTCCTGGAACATAATCCCCAATGCAGGCAGCCTGCCCAACATCCTGGGCACAGGCATGCACTCATTCTCCTTCCCCGTGGAGTACACCACCTCAAGGGTGTAGGGTGGCTGTAAATAATACCAGGGCTGGGCAAATAAATGTTGTTTTTTCTATCGACTGGTCTCCAGAGCACTTTAGGGAGCTGCACTGTGCATTGATAGCGTCACAGTGTCGAGAATATGATAATCATCAGAGGATGTCATCTTTTATGCAGACTTTCCAGCACTATCACTTCTACTCATGCAAACTCTTGAATAAACTGGAGTATTCACACTCTGCATGCAATCTTCACAAAATGATCTGCAATGATCTCCAACACTACAGAGCCTTCGTGGGTGAAACCTCAATACATCACCATGAATACATCCGGCAATGGAAATATCAGCTTCAATGTTTCAATGCCTTGGGCGTAATGGAGCTCACTTTTCTTCTTGAGACACATAAATCTTTCTATGAATTTTGCATGGCCCTTTCCACTCTAATCTAGTAGTTACGGTGCTTGACAGCTGACCCAAAAGTTGAGTGGCAAAATGCGGGCCGCTATTGTTGCATTTCAATGCAGTTGATATGCTAGATTTGAACGCATAACCCCTGGAGGCTGATCTTTCCAGAGCCTTCTGTTACAGAGCTTCTCACAATCTTATTGTGGTTTCAGGACGTAGAACCTCAACCATTTTTAATTTCCTGTGGTAAGGCAGGGTCAGCCACCTTTTTTGGCAAAAGGGGCCTTAGCTATCCTTAGCCAGATTTCAAAAATATGTCAACTACGACACAACCAAATGCTTGTTGTTGACTGTTGCCTAGAGTGGGTCATTCTATTTTTTCATGTTTCGTTAATTGCTTCGTTAAATCATTTTAACAAACATTTGAAGCAACAAAGCTGGATGAGAATTCTAATTAGAAAGTTGTAGATACAACTGCAGCGACTCTTGCTGTGATCCCATACCAGCTTTCGCTGTAAAATTTACATAGGCAGCCAATTAGTATCGGGTACTGATATGGTAAGTGCATTTAATAAGTACTGTCTCAACAAGGAGACACAAATACAACCACACACGAACCTCGGAGCCAAACCATTTTTTCACTCAATCACAAATACAATATTTTTTGCCCAACATTGATGAGATCTGCACCAAAGTTAACAGAACTTGTGTTCAGTTCAAAAACTGGGTGGTGTTGCGTGGCGCCACCTAAAAGTGGCACTGCTGTCGCGACAGGGTTCAGCAAGTCCAGAAACGTGCGCCGGATCGCATGTTTGACTGTGGTTGTTCTGTGTCCGCGTGTTGTAGTACGTACACTGAAGTGATTTCGCGTGCTGTTGTGTACTATGAAGCATGAATGTTTGTTCACTTGCAATGCCGTCTTGTCATGTGCCTGTATGCCCAAATGGATAGGACTACGTAACAGTTACCCGAGACACTTCTGTGCTCCACGTGATCCGGCGCTCTTTGCAGTATAGGGTTGTGCTATCGCCCTTCTTGACAAAAAGCTGTTTGACAAATCAAGAGTTTGTGATGTGCATTTTTATGCCGAGGACATTTTGAAAAGGTACAGCCTTGTTGACGATGGGAAGAAAAGTTGCAATTGCAGTGGTAATAAAGGGGAGTCTTCATGATGTAAAATGTGTGTAAAATGCAGTGCATAAATACGACACACCCTATTTTGTGTGTCATTTTTATGTGCTTCATTTTACACTATCAGACTAAACCAACTCGCCCAGTTTTGTACGCTGCTGAGGGGGAGTCTAGTGTAGGGAACTGCGCCTAAAGTTTTTCCTGACCTGTCATCGTATCTTGTGTCATCGTATCTTGCGAAAACTGATACTGTGGTCTTAAGCAGAGACTATAGCAGGTGTGAAATATTGATACAGTATACTTAAAAAATGCACAATAGTATTCAAAGAAAATACATGAAGTGAAAAATACAATGCATACAGGTAAAACAATAAGGCTAAAAAGGTGAACAAGAACACATAACAGCAAATAGTAACTGCAAAATGCAAGAATACAAGAATAAGCTGAGTAAACACAAAAGAGAATAAAATTCAAGGAAAAAACTTGTCGAATAGATAATTAGATTGAACAAGATTATGCAATAAATAGGAATTAATTATAAAAGAAAAGTATATTCAATGGTGTTAAAAGCTACTGCAAGCATTTATCAAAGAAAGCGAGATTTGTATTGCAGTACTGTCGGTTAGGTTATTCCAATTAATAATAGTTCTACACAAAAAAAGAGTATTTAAAGCAGTTATTTTGTGGAAGTTATCGTGAAAGAATGTCTTTGCCTGGTTTTGTAACCCTGAGAATAACAAATAACCGGAGAGGAGTCCATGTTGTAATGTCCTTTAGCTAATTGGTAAAATAATTTGTCTGCAATTTCTACCTCTATTGCTGACTGAGGGCAACCCAGATCGTTTGACGAGTTCAGTGATTGAGGAACGACTATACGAGTTATATGTCATGAACTACTTTTTTTGTTTATTTGCTGATATTTGTTTTGGTGTATAGGTCCCAAATCAGCACTGCATATTGAAGCATAGGAGATATAATGGACTGGTATGCAAGGAAACAAGTGGAAGGAGTTGATATTTTTAAGGATCGTCTTAAGAATAATAATTTATGCAATGCCTTATTCATAATATCTATGTGTCTTGACCATGATAAATTATTTGTTAACCTTAAATCCAGGTATGAGTATTCACCCACCTTCGAGAGAGTGTTTTTCTTTGCCCCATAATGAAATAAAAGTGTTTTTTTTTTGTGGGTGATTCGCATAAAGACCGTCTTGTTGTAATTAAGTCATCTTCCACTGCTCACACCACGATATTATTCTTTGGAAGTTTTCATTTAACGTAATCTGATCCTCGATTGACCTGTACCATAAATCACATAGCCATCTGCATAGAGCTTAATCTTAACATAAACTCTTCTGTTACCGCGCGAAAATGGTTGTTTTTCATACGTCTCGGGAAGATCGCTTTTGCTAGTTTAAAAAGTACTCCAGCATGCATTGCATCATACTAAACTTTGCACAATGAAATGGTCTTCTCCAAAAATATGTTGTAGAGCAACGAAAATATTTTACAATGAATAAAAATGTGAAAAGTGTAGAATTTTTTATTGCCAGTTAGTAAACAGTGGAATAAAAAATCCTATATATGCAAAAGAATCCTAAGCAACAAAAATTCAAAATATACATTTTGTAGATAAATGACCCAGGAACAGTATAAATAATAATGTTGTACAAAATGTTTCTCTTTACATAGACGAAGAAAATCGGAACCGAGGTGCTGCTTCCTTGCTCATGCTATGGTTTTTCATGAGATGCACGTGTACTCTTACACTTTCTTAGTAAATTTTTGTTTTCTTGCAATGAGTCTCCAGGTGTACTAATATAGATCGATAACCGTGATGTGAGTAATGCCTCCACAAATGGCATGTCCGATGAACATCGCCAATTTAGCGTCACCTATTTCCATGAGCCACCTCACTCAGCACAGGTTACCGTTTCAATATATGCATCCAAGCATATTTCTTTGCATTTTTGCGCATATCGTATTAAAGAAATGACAATATCACGCGCAGTTATAAATTTTTTCACGCTGCTCTGTAGTCAGCATCAAGATGTGCTCCAGGGACCTTCTTGCCGTTAGGAAAAGCTCTGCAGCCAGCGCCAGCACACCGGGCCCCAGCGAAGTATAGACTACGCACGTTACCAGAGTAGCTATAAGATTGTGCACAAGGCTCAGCAGTTACACACTTGCAGTGGAAGAGACAACTTGAGGCCGTAAACAAAACAAACCCATGAAAGGATGTGGATGTCTCAGGCTGACACAAAACATGATCTCCATAAAATTTGAAGGTGAGGTGCTGTCATCCTCACACTCTAAACTCTAAGGGTTGCAAGACAGTTTAAGCAATGCATGTTCTTTGCAGCGCTGGTGCGCACCCATGCGTGCGTGACTGCAATGTCATAGGAGCGACTAGTGACACTAGATGAGTGCTTGCATCAGATGTAACAATGAAAACAAAACCAAAGCTGCTGGAAACTGTCAGAGAAGGCCACTTCGACACTTTAAATGCACGGCAAACCTTCGTAAACACTTCTTGTAGAACAAATTTTTCCCGACTCTTAGGAACAGCTCTCTATTGATTATCTGGCGAAAATTTCTGGTAATAATTACTGCGCAACATAGTCGAATTTCGAAGCTGACATTTTATTTCAATATTTGGCTTGCAAAGGTTCTCTTCATTATAGAACCTTAATGTTGCTGTAGCATAATCTCGAGGAGTATGCACTTCTGTCAAGTTTGCCAGCCTAGTGCACTTTTTCAACAATACAGGCATATTAGTTTGCGCTACAGTCTGTCAAAGATCACTATGTTGCCAAAATGGGCAAATTCGAATTGATTCTGAAAGTTGAGTGGCTAAACTAACTATTAGAAAGTGCTGGGTGCATGATAAACAAATTTAACATGCCAAAATAGATCATCCAAAAGCGTCGATCATTAGTGATCGATTTGAATAAGCATGGTAACAAAAGAGTTAATATCAGTGGTGATGTCATTTACAAACACCAAAAATAACAGAGGCCCAAGCACGGACCCCTGAGGGATGCCAGAAGGAACTTCGACACAATCCGATCAGGTGCCATATAGCGAAATATATTGGTAACGGCTCATCAGGTAAGCTCCAATCCATGCCAGTAGAGTATGATTTGTTATAATAAAACATAGTTTTTGAAGTAACTTATTATGCAATACTTTATCAAAGGCCTTACTAAAGTTCATGTATATAGCGCCTGTTTGATATCTTTTATTTATACCCTCGGCAAAATCATGCTCGATTCCGAGCAATTTGTGTATTTGTAGAATACTCGCTTCTAAAGCCATGTTGTGCATTTGTTAGAACTTTATACTTTTCAAGAAATTTCACTATATCTTCATAAATTATGTGCTCAAAGATGTTACATAAAGTAGATGTTAACGAAATGGGCCGATAATTCGAGATGTCGGATTTGTCACCAGATTTAAACAGTGCTTTGATTCTTGTGGTTTTGCAGTCCTCCGGCAAGGCACTGTCACCGAGAAATTTTTTGAACAATACGAGTAAATACTTCACACACCACTCTGCATATCTATTTAAGAAAGTCTTCGGGTATCGTCTGGGCCGGGAGATTTGTCAACATCTATGTTAAGCAGAAGTTGAATATCCTGTTCAGCGATTCTCACGTCAGGCATAGGTGGAAAAGACATCGGAAGGAAGCCATTA